ATTTAAATTTTTCCTGTTAGGTCTTTTATTTCCCAAACAATAGACCGCTTTGCTCTTCGTGAACTACTTTAGGCTAGAGAGAGCAACCAAGTTTCTTTTTTCTTTTTATAGTTTAAGCTTTTTCCTCTTTCGCCTTTCAGGTACCCAATTAAATAGAGCCCCTCATGCTCATTTTCATCCAGGATTCAAGTAAAATTCTTCCAGCTGAACTAGAGCCATCCAATTCTTATACCAGGTTCCAGATAAAAGTTGGCAGGGAAAATAGAAGTGACCAGTGGAAGAATGTGTTCATTTCAGTCTCGAGTTGTTGCTGGGCAGAGCGCCCTCCCTGTGGCTTAAGCAGGGATATTGGAAGGGGCACCGCCCATGGGAAGGGGCTAGGGGTGCTGGGGTTCACGAGCCCAGACTCTAGGTAGGCTGCCCGGGTTTAAATCTGTGCTTTCTTTTCTTTTCCAGCTTTATGAATCTCAATTTCACAGCCTTTATTTGCTGTGTACCCGTGGGCAAGTCACTTAAGCCTTTTAAACTTAAGGTTCAGCTATAAAATGGGAATTAAGAATTAGTATCTGCTTCTTGGGGTTTTGAGGATGCAGTCAGATAGGTATGTGGAGCCCACAGCATAATGCCTGGCACACATGCTTGCCCAGTAAGGTGGCCAGTAACAGTCTTTATTTTATTAGTGTTGTTGTCAATACTTACGTATGTATCGCTCACTCTGCTCTTTTAATATACATTTAATACTATTGGCACTAGTAGCTGTGTTAAAAATCTGTTACAATACATTTGGGTTCGCAAAAATTTACATTGACTTGGTAAAAACTACGGTAAGCAAAGTCAAATGACAAACGGGTCGGGGGCTATATTTGCAATTCATAATGTAGACAAAGCGTTCATTTCCTAATATATAAAGAACTGCTCAATAATAAAATGAACAGTCGTAAGGCTTTTTATGGTGATACTCTTCCATCATATTGTGAATACATATACTCGGAGCAAAACAGGAAAACCCTAGGTTGGAGCGGGGCTTAGGACACACAGAGCCAAAGAAATGTCCATGAATAAAAAAAAAAGAAAGAAATGTCCCTGAGCGTGTAAACAGACCTGAGACTTGTTTTTCCCCATAAAGTAGCTCCCTCTCAGAAATGTTCTGTCACTTGTCAGCGGTACCCTCATATTTACCCTGTCACCCAGGATTTTCTCATCTCCTTTTCCTGGTTCCCCCGCACCCAGAAAGTCACAGAGTCTTTTCTGGGTTTCATTCAGAGTAGTTCACATCTGCTCCAATCTTTCCAGGCCTGCAACTACTATTTTAGTAAAAAAGACACTCTATCTGACTGAACTGCCGCCCTGGTTTCCCTTACTTTCTCTCGTTCCCTCCTCCAGGTACCACGGTATACCAAACCCAGATGAGTTTCCCCAAAGCAGGGTTTTCATGTCGGGCCACCAACCTGCTCAGAAACCTTCAGTGGTTCCCTACAATGTAGAATGGAGTCTGCCTTCTGAACCCAACCCTCAGGGTCCCTTCATGTGATTCACTGTCCTTATGTCTTCTAGCCTTACTTAGTCTTTCTCACTATGATTCTTTAGGGACCCTCTAAACACCTAACCTGATGGGCTTGGCCTGGCCCACTGTGCACATTTCTGCCTTCACACTGCCCAGCTCTGCTTCCGTCTCCTCTGTCCCGATGGCCGCCCATTGTTTTCTTACCTCGCTGCATGTATTGGTTGTCTGGACCTCCCCTCTCACGTTTAACCTTTGCCACCTATGTTGTTTTAAGTAAACTTTCTCATTGAAGTAGAACATAATCCAATAAAGTTTTAGGTAAACTTTCTCATTGAAGTAGAACACAGATCACAAAGTAAATCAGTAACTTTTCACAAGGTGAACACACCCATGTCATCAACATGCCTGTCTTCTGATTCATACCCCGTCTCCCTAACTAGCTGGTAAGCACTTGAGAGACAGAACCACATCGTATGACTTTGCGTGAAAGTGCATCACATCAGGTGCTCAGTGACATTCCAGATCAGGAATTTGAGCTAAGAAAGCAGTCTAGGCCTTGACAAATAAGAAACACAGAAATTTAAAGGAATGTGTGAAATTTCCATTACTAACTACAAATTCTTTCTTGACAACTAGTTACAGTTGAGATATGATTAGAAGTAATATAATTTTGGTGAGTCCTGTTCAAGGGTTTCTAGGTGGTGACCTGTAAGTAAGACCTTTAAATCCAGTCTGAACAAGGCCATGTCATAGCTTTCTCTTTTCAGATAAGGTATGCAGACATGTACAACATTAGTTTTTGTTGTCATTCTCTCCAGCAAATATTTATTGATCATACACAGTCTCCTAGGTACGGTTCCAGCATATGGTAGTATTCAGCTGTGAGTAACATAAAAGATCCTTCCTCTGTAGAGCTTATATTTTATTTTATTATTTTATTTTTTTTTAAAGATTTTATTTATTTATTTGACAGAGAGACAGCGAGAGAGGGAACACAAGCGGGGGGGGGGGGCGGGGGAGAGGGAGAAGCAGGCTTCCTGCTGAGCAGGGAGCCCGATGTGGGGCTTGATTCCAGGACCCTGGGATCATGACCTGAGCTGAAGGCAGACTCTTAACGACTGAGCCACCCAGGTACCCCTAGAGCTTATATTTTAATGAGTCACTAGAAATAATGGATAGAACTGAAAGAAAGGCTTAAGACTAAAGATACACAACAAGGCCTAAACAATACAAGAAGGTGAAAAATTGTTACAAAATCCTCATCAACATACAGAGAGAATAAGAGCATGGAGATAAGAAGGGCTAAAGGAAGATCAGCCCTGCACTAGGGACTTCTGGGTAAGAAATCCATTTGTGACATTATCAAAGGTACGAAAGAAGGCGGCAACTCAGGTAAAATATAAGTCCAGGGTTAAGGAGAGCAGAGAGATGTCAAAAACATTATAGGAAACACTTAATTTTCAGCAGTGCCTTACAGTTTACAAGGAAGGGACTTTGACTTGTTCATCCTACCAGATCTTGGCCACTCTGATTTTGTATAGACTATCATGTACGCATAGTCACACAGCTCCTGTGTGCCGGGTGTGAGTGTAGACTGACTTCAGTACTCTTCCCCAGGCTGCTCTTATCACCGTATTTACTGTTTACTTCAAACCTGAAGCATGAGGAGCTCCCTGGCAAATCACGCCATCCAGAGGTTATCCACATAAGGCGAAGAGAAGTCAGGCAGATCACTTGCCAGCTCCTAGCTGTGGCTAATATTACTTGGAAACGTAGGCACAGGGGATGGAAGGTAGAGGATGCCTAGGCTGCTAATCCTGAAAAAGTAACTTGTTGAAAGTATTATGAGTTCCCTTTTAGTTTTGTTTTGTCTTGTCTTTTATTGCCCCTTTGGTTATATCTTTTTTGTACCTACAAGGCTTTGGTTTGCAAAGCTATAAATCTGCCAGTCTTGTTGACGTGGCTTTCACTTTGAATTAAGGTTCAGCAAAGGGATTAGCGCATAACAGTTTCAGGCAGTATTTCTTTACACAAAAGGGTGGATATGGTTTGAACAGGCTGCCAAAGCCAGGAAGAGAAGTTAATTGTGTAAATCAATGCAGGCAAGAGCTGATCACCTTTCTGAAAGACAAGACAATGCAGCATACAACCTCTAAATAGATCTTTGGGGTCAAGTTGATGTCATGTGGAAGAATCAATATTTACGGGGCTTTATGAAGTTAGCCTTAATGAACCCCAGGCATTTTGCGAGGCCGCTAATCGCAGGAAGAGGAAAGGCGACAGTGGCTGAAGTCCATGGCTATGGAGGTTGTATAAAAATAAGTGAAGAGACAGTCACTTGCTTATATGCAAGGGCCCCACCCTAGGTGTTACCCAAGCATTTGTTGGGTATGTGTTTGGAAAGGCTGGCTTTCTTGAGATTTTACTGACATTTTAAGAAAAGGCAACTTCTGCATCCTAACAGAAGGTAAGCCCTTTACACTTTGACACCGTTATCTAAGCAGTTTTCTGAGATGAGTTCTTTTTTTTTTTTTAAGAGTTTATTTATGTATTTGGTAGAGAGAGAGAGAGCACAAGCAGGGGGAGCGGCAGGCAGAGGGAGAGGGAGAAGCAGGCTCCCTGCTGAGCAGGGAGCCCGTGCAGGACTCCATCCCAGGACCCTGGGACCATGACCCAAGCCAAAGGCAGATACCTAACCGACTGAGCCATCCAGGCGCCCATCTGAGATGAGTTCTAATGTCAGTTTGGATTCTGCCTTATAAATGTGCTAATCACAAGGGCAGGTCCCTCTCAGAGTATAGCTCATCGATGACCTCCCTCTGACACACTTGAAAGCTTTTATAGTAAATAATTGTAGTAAAGAGCATTTACTTTAGGATGCTGGCTTCAATCCAAGTTGAATAAAAGATTTTTGATAAATATCATTTGCACGTGTGATATCATCCAGTAGAAGGCTGTTTGGTATGCTTAAGTGTTCTGTAGTCCTCACGGGGTTGGCAGAATCACTGGTGGGTTAGGAGCCTTATCTTCTATTTATTTTAGTGGGTGCTTCTACTAAATGTTGTTGACTAGATAGAGGAATGCAGTCTCGTATTTTATCCTGGCTGTAACAAAATGACGATCCTATAGAGTCGGGAACTGAAAGTCATCAAGCAGCTTTGTTAGGTGCTGTGAGTCAGAGTGTGGCCCCAGATGTTTGTTACAAGTTCTAGGTCATGTGTGCTTAGTAGATAAATTTTGGAACTGAATTTTCAGCCCTCTTTCCTTAGTGTCTTTTATCAGAGGAGGCTTTAAAATTCACCAGAGAGAAGAGCTTCTGTTCTCTTCTCACTCCCACTCCCATTCCTTCTCTCCAGGATCGTTTTTCAGAATAAATACTGAAAAGGAAAAGCATGAGAGGTTTGTTGGGATTGTTGTAGTGTTTTTACAAGAGAATCTGACGTTTGCTATTTTCATCTTTGGATATTCATTCTGGGTTTGTATTCTTTCTTTTCAGCTGTTTGAGAACTTCTACTTTGGTACCCTGAAGCTCAATTCAGTTCACATCTCTCAGAGGTTCACAATAGACAGCTTTGGAAACTACGCCTCCTGTGGGCAAATTGACTTCTCCTGAGGTGGATCTTGGGAAGCGCTAGAAGTTGAACATCCTCACAAGGTGCAGAGGGAAAGTATCTTCGTTTGAATTACTGAAGAGGGATGTAGAAATTTGGATGGTGACTTTACTGGGAGGTTCCCCACACAAACCATGGTCTCTAATGGTTGTTCACAGTCCTCAAACTGTCTGTCATCCAAGGGGGTTGTGGGTACGGGGTGGTTATGTAACCCTTGGCTTTTTCATCTTTCACAGGGTCTACCTTTCTTTCTGAAGTTCTTCTCTGGAAATGTACATCTCAAGCCCATTGGAGCTGAGATTCACGTTATTTCTTATACACCTACTGATTTTGCTCCAGCCATTAAACTTTCATATTAATACTTTAAAAGAGAATTAAAGACGTGGTTTTGTTACTCTCTCCACCTAAATCAAATGTCTACAGTTTTTAGAAGGTTTGATTTTTACTTCCTTTATACCTTAACTTTTTTTTTTTGAATATTTATTATTTTTTTTTAAAGATTTATTTATTTGAGAGAGCGAGAATGAGAGAGAGAGAGAGAGTACGTGACGGGGGAGGGTTAGAGGGAGAAGCAGACTCCTCGCTGAGCAGGGAGCCCAATGCGGGACTAGATCCAGGGCCTCCAGGATCATGACCTGAGCCGAAGGCAGTCGCTTAACCAACTGAGCCACCCAGGCACCCCTTGAAAATTTATTTTTTTTAAAGAGAGAAAGAGCAGGGGGAGGGGCAGAGGGAGAGGGAGAGAGAGAATCTCAAGCACTCTGCACTGAGCATAGAGCCCAATCTCACGACCCTGAGATCATGACCTGAGCTGAAATCAGAAGTTGGACGCTTAACCCACTGAGCTACCCAGGTGCCCCTGTACTTTAACTTTTTTTTTTTTTTTTTAAGATTTTATTTATTTGAGAGTGAGAGAGAGCTAGAGCACACGGGCAAGAGAACACATGAGCCGAGGGGAAGGGCAGAGGGAGAGGGAGAAGCAGACTCCCTGCTGAGCAAGGAGCTGGATGCAGGGCTCCATCCCAGGACTCTGGGATCACGACTGAGCCGAAGGCAGATGCTCAACCAATTGGGCCACCCAGGTGCCCCTGTACCTTAACTTTTAATCACTACCCAGAAGGTTTAACCATTTGTTAGTGTACAGTTCAGCATTGTTAAGTGTACTAACATTGTTCTGAAACATCTCCAGAACTTTCTCATCTTGCAAATCTGAAACTATACCTGTTAAACAACTCTCCATTTCCCTTTCCCTCAGATCCCTGGCAACCACCCCTCTACTTTCTTTCTGTGAATTTGTCTACTTTGGATTCCTCATATAAGTGGGATCATACAGTATTTGTCTTTTTGTGACTGGCGTATTGCACTTAGCAAAACATCCTCAAGGTTCATCCATGTTGTAGCATTGGTCAAAATTACCTTCCTTTAAAAAAGGCTGAATAATATTCCCTTGCACGTGTACCCCACGTTTTGTTTATCCATTCAGCCACCACTGGACACTGGGGTTCCTTGACGTCTTGGTTGTTGTGAATATAGTGCTCTACGAACATGGGTGTATAGGGATCGCTTCGCGATCCTGCTTTCAGTTCCTTTACTACTCAGAATTTTATCTTTAGCAAAATAACTTAAAGTTTTTATCTTTTACTTTGGTCTGTCCTCTTTCTTCTGAAGTTGAACTCTTTTATATTTGTTAGGTTACCGTTCCTTACCTTACCCTACCCTCCAGCCTTCCCAGGCCCCTGATGGAGTCATGGCATCATAGCTCTTTTATGGGCCGCAGCAGTAGAAACAGTGACAATATTGTCAGGAGGATGCCGAGTTCCCTGGGGCAGGGTCAGCTGCAGAAGCTCCTTCCTTGCCACAGACCAGTGGACGGAGGGGGCTCCCAGCATGGCTTCCCCGACCCATCAGTCCCGCCACATGCTCTGCTGGGGAGCTCCAGCCTCACCCTCACCTCCTCTGTTCACATCCCTCTCCCTCCACGTCACCTCTTTCTCTTCCCTTCATTCCTTACTCTTACTTTGATTCTTCCTGTTTGAAAAGGCTCATTCTGAACCCTGTGCGTTAATGCTGCTACACAGTAAGGGCCGTGTGTACCACTCAGATTTGTTCATCAGTGTGACTGCACAGATCATTTGTGAATAAATGAATTTCCAAAGTCACTGTGTTTTTCTCTAGTATTATCATACAGTTTCAGCTTGACCCCCTTCGTCGGGGTGTGTTGGGATATGGTGTTGCCCTCACTGACTCCCTAGCATAGCTGTATCATTCATCCAGACCTTACATGTGAGTGCCTGCAGGTGGTTTTTTCTCCAGATGCTTTCTACTAGGAACATTCATTTTTTTTTTTTTTTTTTTTTAAGTTGAGGTTTTACCTTGTTTACCATCAGTGGTTAGATGGCACGTGGGAAGGAGTGCACCAAGGGATCATACTGGATAGTGGAGCTGACAGCGGAGGTCAGTGTCCTCATCTCATCCCAGCACTTCGCTCTTACTGGTTTCTTTCCAGCACCTGCCGCCTGGCAGCCTTGGCCAGGAAGTAAAGATATCTTGTTTTCAATGTCAGAGATTATGACCTGTGTTTCCAGTAAATCTTTTTTTTTTTTTTAAGTTTTATCTTTGGAAAGTGTAACTTTATCAAATCCTAAATTCTTTTTTTTTTTTTTTTTGAAGATTTTTATTTATTTGACAGAGAACGAGACAGCGAGAGAGGGAACACAGCAGGGGGAGTGGGAGAGGGAGAAGCAGGCTTCCCGCTGAGCAGGGATCCTGATGTGGGGCTCAATCCCAGGACCCTGGGATCATGACCTGAGCTGAAGGCAGACGCTTAATGACTGAGCCACCCAGGCGCCCCTCTTTTTTTTTTTAATATAAAGATTTATTTTTTTTAAGTATCTCTACACCCAGCATGGGACTTGAACTCACAACTCTGAGATCAAGAGCTGCGTGCTCTACCAACTGAACCAGCCAGGCGCCCCCAAGTCCTAAATTCTTAATAGAATTGGAGATGCTGTTATTTAAAATTTAGAGGTAACTGTGCATTTAAGAACCTATTGTATTATTAAGTAATTTTTCACAAGTAATTTACCTTTTTCACTCTCCTTCTTTCACGACTCTACAGTGGACTTTTCCAGAGGCTACGTGACATAGTGACATCTTCACTCCGATGGTGAATGGAGCATGTACTTGTGTATTTTTGTGTTTCCTAGAACCTTGTCAGTTGTAGAAATTTGTAAGAATTTTCCAAGATTCGGGATCCCCTCCCACCTAATTGTAATGGGGTACATGTTGGAAGATTTGCTACTTGTGTTTATAATCAAATCTCCTTTAATATTATCACTTAGCAATTCATTCTGCCCTGAAATAAATTGCAGCTCCCATCCCTCCAGCCGGTTTTTGAGACACTGACTTCACCGTCAGCTCCTCGAAGAGGAAGAGGAAAAACGGTCTCTCACTGCAATTATCACACAAGATCTGTGTTGTTATATAAGAAACTTCGTCATGGGAGAATCATCTTGATTTTTTGGGAGGCGACACAAGGAGTTAGCCCCAGACAAACTCCATACCCATGGTAGAAACATAATAAAAGTCACTTCTTGTCGTGGTTATGTTTAAGTGAGCTTCAGAATTTACTACAGTGGACACTGATGAGACTCCAGCTTCGTAAAGACCCAAAGCTTGTTCGGGTTCACTCCTGCGCCGCACTCTCTCCCTGGAGCTGAAGGGAACCCCATGGCACCAGGGGTGTGTACTGAGTGAGGAGACCTCTCAGATTCTCCCTTGATGCCTCCAGGGAACATGGATACGCCAAGACACTACAGGCGAGAGAAAGGGTTGCCATTGGGGCTGTTTTTATTAATAGCTTTCTTGTTGTTGTTAATAAAATGCTCTTTTATTTATTTATTTTTTAAGATTATTTATTTGACACAGAGAGAGAGTGAGAGAGAGAGCACAAGAACGGGGAGCGGCATGCAGGCAGAGGGAGAGGGAGAAGCAGGCTCCCTGCGGAGCAAGGAGCTTGATGTGGGGCTCAGTCCCAGGACCCTGGGATCATGACCTGAGCCGAAGGCAGCTGCTTAACCGACTGAGTCACCCAGAGGCCCCTAAAATGCTCTTTTAAACAAAAGATCAAATACATTCACCTTGTGCCAAGTCATCCAGCTATACCCGTTATGCTCTTTTCAACATGTATTTTATACTTCAGTTTAAATGTTGATTTATTTATTTAAAAAAACTTTTTTTTAAAGATTTTATTTATTTATTTGACAGAGAGAGAGAGACAGTGAGAGCAGGAACACAAGCAGGGGGAGCAGGAGAGGGAGAAGCAGGCTTCCTGCTGAGCTGGGAGCCCGACGCGGGGCTCGATCCCAGGACCACGGATCATGACCCAAGCTGAAGGCAGACGCTTAATGACTGAGCCACCCAGGCACCCCTAAATGTTTATTTAAAAACAAATTTCATCATCCAGAGGTTACTACTCCCTATGCGTTTAAGCACGTATCATATCAAATTGTTAAATAATGTTTCACAAATAACAGCTAATGTTAGCGGGATGCTCACACTTCTCATTTGTGTATTAACTCTTTTTTTTATTTTTTATTATTTATTTATTTATTTATTTATTTTTATTAAAGATTTTTATTTATTTATTTGACAGAGACACAGCGAGAGAGGGAACACAAGCAGGGGGAGTGGGAGAGGGAGAAGCAGGCTTCCTGCAGAGGAGGGAGCCCGATGCGGGGCTCGATCCCAGAATCCTGGGATCATGACCTGAGCCGAAGGCAGACGCTTAACGACTGAGCCACCCAGGCGCCCCTAACTCTTTTTTTTAAAGATTTCACACGCAAGTGGCGGGGGAGGGTGCAGAGGGAAAGAGAGAATTTCAAGCAGGCCCGATGCAGGGTTCAATGCAGGGTTCGATCCCAGGACCCTGAGCTCATAATCTGAGCTGAAGTCCGCCGCTTAACCGACTGAGCCACCCAGGCGCCCCGAGTATTAACTCATTAATCTTTACAAAGCCTACTTCAGTTGGTATTATCATTACCCTCATTTTACAGACTGAGGCTTAACGAGGTTAAGAGATTTGCCTGAGGTCATAACAGCTTATACCACCAGTTCTTAAAATGTGGTCTCTGGACCCCTGGGAATCCCTGGGAACCTTTTAGGGCTGTGTGTGAGGTCCACACTGTTTTCTTAACATTACTAAGGTATTATTTGTTTTTTTCACTCTCATTCTCTCGTCAGTGTACAGTGGAGTTTTCCAGAGGCTATGTGACATGGTGACATTATCACTCTGATGGTTAATGGAATATGTGCTCGTATGTTTTTGTGTTTTCTAGAATTTTGTAAGTTGGCAGGTTTACATATAATGTAATATGTTTTTATTTATTTATTTTTAAAAAGATTTTGTTTATTTGACAGAGACACAGCGAGAGAGGGAACACAAGCAGGGGGAGTGGGAGAGGGAGAAGCAGGCTTCCCGCGGAGCAGGGAGCCTGATGTGGGGCTCCATCCCAGGACCCTGGGTTCATGACCTGAGCCGAAGGCAGACGCTTAACGACTGAGCCACCCAGGCGCCCCAATGTAATATATTTTTAGACATTAACTCAGTTTGCTCTCAATATTTCTACTGTACTCTTACTAGCTATTTTCAGTTTTATCTGCTGTTACAGGCTGAATTATATCCCTAGGAATTCATATGTTGAAGCCCTAACCCCCCAGCAGCTCAGAATGTGACTGTGTTTGGAGATAGGGCCTTTCAAGGGGTGATCAAGTAAAAATGAGGCTGAGGCCTTTAGGGTAGGCCCTAATCCATTCTGACTGATGTCTTTATAAGAAGAGGAAATATGGGTACATCAGACCCCTGGCCTCCAAGATCAGCCCCCCTGGGTCTTTCTTCAAAAAACGTTGGTGATGACATCACCAAGGCAACTGGTGATTGGAAGGGTCTGAGGATTATGGTGAAACTGACCATCCAGGACAGACAAGCCCAATTTAGATAGTTCCTTCTGCCTCTGCCCTGATCCGTGGGCTGCAGTGTGGATGGCTGCTACCTTCATGACATCAACAGTGGTGTGGTGAAATGTCCAGTTGAGGACTAGAAAGGAACATCCTTCAATAAAGGGTTGTTTGATAACCAAAGGAAAAAAGCTGTCAGACAGGGGCACCTGGGTGGCTCACTCGTTAAGCGTCTGCCTTCAGCTCAGGTCATGATCCCAGGGTCCTGGGATCAAGCCCCGCATCGGGCTCCCTGCTCTGCAGGGAAGCCTGCTTCTCCCTCTCCCACTCCCCCTGCTTGTGTTCCCTCTCTCGCTGTGTCTCTCTCTGTCAAATAAATAAAATCTTAAAACAAAAACAAAAAAACTCAGACATGTGCGTGCATAGAGGAATGACCATGTATGACCCAACAAGAAAGCAGCCATCTGCAAGCCAGGGAGAAAGGCCTCAGGAGAAACCAATCCTAGCAACACCTTAATCTTGGACTTCTAGTCTCCAGGACTTGGAGAAAATAAATTTCTGTTGTTGAAGCCTCCCCCAGTTTGTGGTATTTTGTTATGACAGTCCTAACAAACTAATATACTTGCTATAATGCAGAAGCTAATCTACCAG